GTCTGCCGGTCACGCCCACGCAAAAGACTAAGTCTGTGTCCCTAGACCACCATCTGGGTTGAGGTGCAGTATCCTCAACCCCCAACGGAAGGTCGTCAGTTGCAGACATCGAGCATCAATGCGACAGGGTTTGCCCCTGAACAGCCAACTACCCAAAGACGACTGCGGCTTTACTGCGTTACAGCCACTGAAGTTTACTTATCGCCCGGTTAAGTTGATTATGCTGGCTGACAAAAACGGACTCGGAAACAAGTGTGAGGGGTGCCCCTGGTTCCGGTAAGTTGTAATTCGGGTGTTGTAATCCGAAAGTCACCGTTGGTGGATGGAGAACCAAGCCAACAAGACACTTATGAATAATATTTCTTACTGCTTGGTGTCTACTGGTCTCTTAGTAAGAGGAACAAATGGGTGCATGGGGAGTCACATCGTCTGGAAGGTGCATGTGCATTCGCCATTACAGTGGACAACCGCATGGGAAAACTTGGGTGTTTGCACCAAGAACTAAAAGTTAACTGACGTAGCTTAACTTCACTTTGCTTGTCCCCGCACTATGGTATTACAGACTTCGAGGTCAGTTACCTCGGATCAAGGAAAGACGCGTGCGTAGTCATTCAACAGAGAGCGTTCAGATCGTAGCCGTCGCCCTTCTGGATTTCCTGTCGGTTGCAATGGTATGACGTGTGCACCTCATATTTCCGCAAGAGCCACTTGGCTGGCGGGGGCACCTTAGAGTGGTATGCTTTAGTGTGCCTAATTGGTACACTTGGTTATTCTGGGGGACGTTTGTACTCCCTAGAGTGTTGTTGGTCTCAACCAAAGTGAGCCATTTTGGATTTTGCGTATACAGCCCATTTGTAGGTGTTGTACAACAAACGGACCGCAAATTGACAGACAAATGGTGAATCAGTGCGGTGAATTCGTTACAAATCTTGTCAGTTTGCATGCTCGTGTAACATTTTCTGTGCGAGTCATATGGTGGAATGTGTGCCGGCTCTTCGCAGAGTGTGCCATTGGCTAAAAATACATGAATTTAATATCATACACAGTGCTTCCCGATGCCTTTTCGAATATGGAAATAGCACAAAATGACACGTAGAACTACCCTCGCTTCCGGCATTTGTGCCGCTAGTTTGTCCATCGCAATCGTCGTCACGGGATACTGTTGGCCCATCATTTCCATTAAGAGGCTTTACTGTTTTCGCATGACAGAAGACTGTTTGCTTTTATCGAAGGCATACATAACGGTGCGACCGGTGTCCATGCCAACAGTGACCATGGAGGTGTTGAGCTTGTATTTACAGGTCAGATATTAATTACTTTAAGAAGACTTATAATGGTTTGTCACGTGTGCTCCGTCAATATTTACTACATCGGGGAAGCGTCGAAATTGCTATCTGCTGCCCCCCCCCAGGGAAGCATATATGGATGTGGTGGACCTCCCCCGACTGCGGCACAAACGTGCATCCGTGCATCCGAACTTTCTCTGAGACAGAAAGCATATCGTTTGCCACAATAAAACCCAATAATGCGTGAGATAAACTACGGAGATGGCAAACACTTCTAGCGGTGGTTGTCTACATCCTGAGTGGTAAGGATCTAGCCGAATTCATCAGCCACAAACTGCCACACTTCGTACGTCGACGTTCCATTCTTCAACAAGGCCCTGGAGACACTCACCACCTCTTTGGTTAGTAGTCGATTTACTAGAATCCGATTGTACAAAACTTGGAAACCTTATGGTTGTGCTGAAGGCCTCAAGAGGCTAAAAGAGAGATGGTTCCCCCGCATCCTTGGACAAAAACGCCCCAGACAGTTGGTACTTTGCGTACTCTATTTTATTAGCAAATACGTTCGGACTACCAGCTTATTCCGTTGGTTTTGCCACCCAATTACTGCACTCTAGCGCACCCGTAACGCAAAACAGTGCTGATGCTTCGATTACAGGCTACACGCAGAAAAACCACATAGTTGCCCTTAATGTATTGCCTAACGCCTCCTCAAATGCCATGAAAGAGGAAAAACAAACAGCCCCCTGATTTCTCAGCAATTCCATCTTCAACCAATTCTGAAGCCATAGCGCTGCAAGTTCAAAGTCGAATGCGCACCAATAATTAAGAGAAGGATTATCGAAAAACAAATCTTCATGAAAATGAACATAGACCAGGGCGATTTTCGGTTCGAGTACACATAAAACGAGAGGAAACATTTTAAAGTAAAAATTTTAATTTGACTCGCAAAGGTTTTGCAGGAAAAACTACTTTCCGGCCAAGGACCAACGATATAAGGTGCTATCCATAAGGTTGCTGAAAATCCTTTGATGGCGCACGACCTTTCGCGCCATTCTTGGGTCTCTTCAATTAGGTGCATTCCACGGGTCTTCGTCAAAGTTACACAACATTTGAACCTAACATTTGTACACGAATTAGGTTTTGACAAGACACCCAGCTGATTCCAGCTGAATATCCCGCTTATGATGACCCATCTAATCTGAGTTCAAATAGAACATGAGGTTGACGAAGCTCGGTGGCTGCGATTCCCTGATGAGCCTCAAGAAAGGTAAAGCCATTCTTTGGTTGTCTTAAGGTCTTTAACCAGTTAACGAGAGCTGTGTGATGCATAGACAAACACATTGAGTAAGTTTGTTTAATGAGATGATCTGATAGCACGCGTTAATCGGCTGCGAAACACTTGGAAGCACCCACGAGTTACCTGAGTGAATCTGTGCTGTGAAACCTGTTATTATTATTATTAAAAATGCACAGAAAGACCATGACCAGGACTAAATGGACGTGATATAAGGCACCACCACGACGTCACCGCATTAAGGCAAGTGTTGGTGGAGTATATGCAACCTTTTGGGAATCAACCAAGTGAAATGGTAGACGCAAACATGTCGGCCAGAGGGAATCATCGGGCACGATGGAAATGTGAATTGGGAATAGGCATTTGGGAATAGGATTTGTCGGTTCTCGAAGCCGTTTTTAGTGAACTGAGCATAACACACTGCGTCACCATCACAGTACCTCTCCGCGGAGAACAAGTCTTTAAAAGGTTGATAATCGAGGCATTTAACAAAATGACTACAACTTGAAGTAATTACAAGGTTCAGTGATAGAGTAGAGAAAAACTGCGCAGTAGAGGAATCGCATGGGTGAATGTTGAACAGCATCGTCAGGAGGTTATTAAGGGATGTTAAAGAGAGGGGAAATGAGAACGCAAATAATACAGCCAGCACCATAGAGGTTATGTGGTGTGAGACCTAAACAAATGGCAGTAAGAAAAGACACCTCGGAGAGATTTTACGGGATTTATACGCAGGCGAAACGACTTTAAGATGGGCAAAAACCTGGTCATGTGAAGTCCTCGTGGAGCGGGTAAAAGGGGAATTAAGCTGGCGAACAATAGTTGGGCGCAGGGACGCCTAATCGTGCTGGGCTTCGGCCCACGTTGGTCTTTGCTTCACAGGATGTTTGACGGCCAAGGATTCTGTACACAGAAGAATCTTGAATATATTGCTTGAAGGCCCGGAAAGGAATGCCCCTGGGTTCTGGTCCTGTCGATGGGTGAGGTATACCACTTTTGCCTTCTCTTTCCGCCTGCTGTACGTTCTTGAGGCATTGGAGAAACTATGTATTTGGAATGCGGTATTTCGTGCACATGCCATTAATAGAGTAGGGTTTGCGATCAGTTACGGGCTTTGAACCCGGAGCCAGCTGTTTTTGGTTATGACTATATTTTGGTCCTGAAACATGGACCCAGTGGGCCGTCCTGGACCCGGAAGCAAATTGGGCGGTGATACCAACTGTAGTCAAAGGCGTACGACAAAACCAAACTTCTTTTGATGTTGGTCTGACGTTCTTAACTGACACCCGGGGAGCAACATTCTAATCGTTCATCTATGCAAAAATATGATAAACACGGAAGACACGGCAAATTAAACGGATGTAAATTACATAGTGTGCAGAGGCTGGTCGCCACAATAAACCAAACATGACGTCGAACGAGCGGATTTGTGATGTGCGGGATGTGGACAAAACGAAGGCATGCCTGGAATTCCTCGCCCCCCCCCCACACCCACACGGAGAGTCTAGTTTGACCGTGTGGACCGTTTCGTGATAATCCTACAAATACACTTGCATTAATCTTACTTTACTCCATAAAGGTCAGTCTCAAGCCACTCGCCTTGCGATATAGTTCCTCGCCCCACACCCACACGGAGAGTCTAGTTTGACCGTGTGGACCGTTTCGTGATAATCCTACAAATACACTTGCATTAATCTTACTTTACTCCATAAAGGTCAGTCTCAAGCCACTCGCCTTGCGATATAGCAAAGTGGGCGGAATGGGAAGCCAAAGACCCACATAGAAATTGCACCAGAGTGAATAAGTGATAGCACATGGTGTCGCCAAGTCGGGCCAGCTGAAGGCAATTTTTCCGCAGTTTCTTCTAGACTCCAGGTGGTTTAGAGGGGCTAAATATTTATCGGCATTGACCGTGGCATCTGGAGTGTCAGAGCCCAATTCAGAGCACCCGATTCGGTTCGCTCCAATAACTTGGTTCCGCTCTCTGTGAAGATAGTTTCCCGCGTTCTCTGTTTGTCGATGACAGAGTTCATTCCCACTCCGTGTAGGGAGCGAGATATCAATGCCATATGTCATAGCCTCTTACATGTAATAACTGGAGTAAATAAACTAGAGTTGACTTCTATGGTGTGGGTTAGCCTAAGTTTGATCAAATGTTAGCGTAATCGTTCAATCTATTTAGTCGTAATGGAGTTTGAATGGCAGCTTCGGAGTAACCATTTTCTCGGCTTGTCGAGTGACACAGCAATAAAGCAGCCGGGACGAAATTGATTTTTGTGGTCTCAATGGGAACCAGGAAGACCAAGATTAGAATCTCTTGACAAGATTATTAATGTGGCCTGCAATGCCGGCTCAAGTTATCTGTGAGGACACCCAATCGGTTACCCGAGCGAAACTGCAACCGAGTAGCTAAAGGAATGCAGAAAGTGCAGTCAAAGTGCGCGTTTCGCTTCGTCTCCACTACCAAGATACAACCGATTCATGATCCCCAAGATCCGAGAAATGCTGGCATAACGGCTGAAAATTCGGGCAGTAGGATCGTCCCAGAACACATAAACAAAACGGCCAATACGGGAGAGGATACACACAGCACCCTCTAATAGTTATAGAGGCCAGCTAAATCGACACGCACACGCTGAAAAGGTACGCCGTGCCGACATTGCGCCTTCAGAACTTTGAACTCTTTGGTATGCCGTGGCGCGCAGATACAGGAGATAGGAGTGATTATTGATTTTCACTAGAGTTACCAAAGATATTACAGATCAGGAGGCGAACTTTCGCTGTGGCAGTTGATGCCACTAAAGATAGCATTGAGGGCGATGAGTGATTTCATAGCCCTTTGGGGCTTTCAGCTAGAGAATATACAACCGTTTATTAACGGATTACCGCCTCGTAACGGACCTTGGAGAATTTTCGCCACTCTTTAAGGGCCCAAAGCGATCTTCCTACAGGAAACTCAGCATTCATATGTTGTTTTCTTATAAGCATAGATTTTTGCCTTGTAAATGGAAGAATCACAACTAGCTTAACTGTTCAGCTGTAACAGTCTTTCGGTGCTTAGCTGCCATGCCACCCGAGGGAAACACGAGGGCTGGGATACTGCCAGGTCGCTCAAGCCTAGACAAAGTAAGCCGAGAGGCAGAGATCGGGTTCGAACCACGAGCCTTCTGGTCAGTAAATTCAGCAAATGGAAGCAATTTCGATGCAAACCGCAATCGGTTATTTGGTGAGACCAGCGCAACAATCGTTGATTACGATGCACCGAAGTAAGAAATATTTGCATCTCAGTTCCTCAAAAAACAAACAGACAATTCGCTAGTATCGCAAGGAGTGTTGGAGCGCATTCTAGGCGTATCTAAAAATGCTGTGAATAGTAGATTTGTTCCACTCTGGATCCTAGTTTCGATGACACTATCGCCCACAAAGAAATATAGTACAAATTAATCATAAGCTACGGACGGCACATCATCTGAACAAACGATAGTCTATTAATTAGCAAAAGCGGTGCTGCCCATCCTAGAACCTTTCCATGTTACATATCTGTTTCGGCGTTTTGCAACGGGGCAATTCATTGAAGCAAAACGTCGGGAAGTGGTAAAGCTCTACGGATGCTGCTAACTTGCTCGGTAGAACTGCATACATGTGAGCTTTTAAGGCGGTATTCAGATAAGCGTGCAATTAACTGCGGGACGGGCTGCGACAGTGTTCACAACCACCACCCAGAACCTTTGGCGCGACGATTATCATCGCCTACGAAAGTCACCAGTTCGAACTCAACCACGCGGGAACTATCGGTATTCCATCAATCAAAGCAACAGTCGCAAGAGGAATAATGGCAACGCACCACACAACCAGGTTAGGTTGACTTGTCGACTCATTTGAACGGTCCGACAGAGCGCAAGGCCGTTGTAGACATCTAAGCACGGAACCATTGAGAGGGCTCGTCCAGGGTTGCTAACGTACTCACAGTAGCCAGTTGGGGTGTTCCGGATGCACAAGACATTAAAAGCAATGTGCGATGGTGACTGGTTATTCACGAGAGGAACGAACGGTATTCAGTGAACGCAGTTGTTAGAAAAAAGGAATCAAATAAATTAGCTCGATCAATGAATTCCTGATAATATAAATACATGACGAACGCAGTACAGAGAATAGCGCGATAAGGAAACTTCCGATCCAACGAATAAAGAGAAGTAGATAAAACATTGACCTTGTGAGTGCACGACAAATCAGAATTTGTTGAAGTACACGCTGTTGACTGGCTTTCAAGGACACCACTGAAAGATTATGTACAACTATACAGAAGAGAGGCATAGAAGACCGCAAGGCTTTACATGGCACCAAGTCCGCCGTATAGTGCACAAAATAGTAGCAACATTGACAGTGCCGTTACACATGGACAAAAATAACAGATCAGAGTGGAGGCGCGGTTAGAGGACCACGATGCATAGGAGTCGGGTGGGTTGCAAGAAATGAGCAGAAATATCCGGTGCATATTTACAGCAAGTCAGACTCATGATGGGTGACTGTCATCGAAATAGTTGACGAGGGGTGTTGTCTGTGGGTAGAGGTACTCAAAAATACTATACACTGCGAAGAAATGATCATGGACGAAGTATGTACTAATACGGGGTCAAAGATAATAAGAAAGTAATCAAAAACAACGAGAATATTTGCTGGATTGTTTCCAAAAAACCGTTGGGGAATGTGACTGTCAAACATGGAAACCTAAAGTACGATCAGAACGCAGTCCCGACGGGACACTCGAGCGCCCTACTGTTGACCCCATCCGTAGTGTTGACCAGAGCCAACTGATGTACAAGGTTGAGGAGAAAACGATGGATATTTTGTATGTTAGTTTGTGTGTGTGCGTGTGTGTATATATAGAGCAAAATGCTTTCGGATACAGGATGAAACCTCGCGCATCCGTGCTGCTGCCAATGATCTGAGCTGCATACATCGGATAAGAGTGAAGAGGGCACTGGTATCCCTCGCGAGAAATGTAAATCACAAATCCGCGATGCAGATGTTCAGCTAAGGTGAATAAGCACTTCAAAAATCATTCGCATGGGCTGTTTAAACAAGAGTGGCGCGCCAATTCACAGATGGGACGCGAAGACGACCTCATCAGCAATGCCACTGGAGTACAGAGTTCTTGGGTGCTAGTAGTCGGGATCTGAGGCTTCCGAATCCCCAAGGGAGTCACTATCCTCGCCGCTAGAACTACCGTGAGCCTGTTGAAAGAAAATAGTACGGTAAAGATAATGATAGACGAAACACGCACCAGATCTAGTAGTCCATTTCATTCAAATCATTCAAGTTTGAACAATGAATAGCATGAAAATTTGAGACATGAGATGTTGCTTCACTAGAGCATAGAGGCAAACACGACAGACTTACCACATATCGCCGTTTCCGTTTGCGTCTCTTTTTAGACGGACGAATTGAACTGTTACGAGTTGGGGGTGCGCCAGGACGCAAACTAGATCCAGGCTTTCGCCGTTTGTTGGGTGCGGATTGAGCAAGCATCAGGCGAGAGGCACCACCAGCCTGAAAACCAACACGTTCGGTAGTGTGATAAGTCGACTTTAAACAGATAGTGCGTATTATCATTAAGGGAATATGTAGTCTAGACGACAAGCTGATGATACAATTCAGTCCACAGGAAACCAAAACCAGCTGCTTGATAGAAATGATCCGAAATAGCAGTTGTATTCTTCTGAAGAGAACAAATCGAGTGTGTGACAAACTGACAGCATAAGTAACCATATGTCTGTTATAGCTGTGTCATTGATCAAAGATCACCTTGCCGAAAAAACTGGCTGAACACATGAGTACAAAAAAGTTAGCAACAGATACGGGGCTTGGAAATATCCATTACTTACATTGGAATCTTCCGAATCATTCTCTTCTTCAGATGACTTGTCATGAGACTGAGGGACTACCGTCCGGACGGGCCGCAAGCGGGCCGGAAGGACTGCAGACGTACATAAAAAGGACAAATATGGCTAACTAAATGCATAAATATAAACGGGTGCCATAAGGTAAGAAGAGGGTAGAAAGAATATATCGCGTCAAAAACGAACCCATCTAGGTTTGAGTCCTACACATCGAGGTGCTGACGACAGAGGAAAAACAAAATGGGACATCTTGATGATGTCGGTGCACTGGAAATCACTTCCTAGTCATTCAACCCTCACATATGAAGGTAGTGATTCGAGCAGCTGCAAGGGGCCAAATTAATATGATAGGTGGAGATTACTGCAGCCAAATGATGCTGACCAGAAACAATATCCGAGGGGTGTACTCGTGGCATATTCCAAACCTTCCGGAAACCAAAACGTTCTAGTATCTTCCATAAAATGTATTTGAAGTGACCCGCATGGGTGTTCTAGGGTTGAGTGCACAATCCATGACATGAAGCGCAGGGCGTTGCACACCTCTCACCATCATCAAAAGTATCTCAAGTGTTGGTGCCTAACTGCAATACGACCATGGAGGAATAAGGCCCTAATAAAGAGTGGAAAGGAGAAGCATGACGACTTAATGCAAGAAGCTTTTTGTAGCTCGTTCGAACAGTGAAGATTTTGCAGTACTCACATATAAGGACAGCGTTGACTAAACACATCTGGGCATCGTAGTGTAGCAAGACATTAGTTATAGGAGAGCGCGGCGTCCTTTGTGAAGCCCACCCAACACAAACCTAGCATCAAGAGATACTTTGGACAGGCAGTTGGGCAGTGGAGTGGAGAGATACTTACCACCGGGATCGGCTACGTGGTGTACCCTGTGGGGTTTCCAATTACGCAGACAAATCACATCGAAGCTGTCGCAAACAAGGATTTGAGGTTGAGGACAGAGTTTTCCTTGCTAGATGATGTTGGTACACATAGTACATATCCCAATCACCCTGATCTGACAAGATTTACCCGCCGTACTAACTCACCAACAGGTACTCATCTATGGATCACATCACTGTGAATACGGTATCGTGTTGTGAAAACATTCTCACTCGAATATTCGAATACGTTCGATGACTTCGGGCCGGCGGACGGGCCCCAAAGTCAAAAATAAGAATGCCTTCATTGTGGTTTCCCAAATACTGAAACTAGGCTTACACTCTTATGAACAAAGTGATCATTTCTGGTATCCATCCAGTGGCTAGGAGTTGTATCGTTTTTCCACTATCATTGGCCGCCCCACTGGCAACTGGTTTCACTTACGAGGTAAAATAGCTCTCGAATGTTGACAGCTGTATTAACCACCGACATTTCCAGAGCCTTTTGATGTCATTACGTTTCACTATAGGCTGTGCCTGAGTTGTAGTCTAACAGACTTTCTAGCTGCATAATGCTCAGTGTCCGACGGGATGTAGAGTCCCACATCAAGGAGCGATATTGATCATTCTGAACTCCAGTGCGTATAGGGCAGATGCTCAGGAGCATCACATACCGAATTCTCTACTACATACATGGTGGCGCCTATTAGGTCCCAATCTGAGTATCAGGAGCCAATGGCCACATAAGCAATCTAGTTTCGTTTCAGATGATCTAGTTCTGGACTTGTTAGATAGGCTTATTCAAAAGTTGTTTACCATTTCTCCAACATTGATGACCGGATTATGGCTGCATCACCATCATTCACCATAGACAGCATGACATCAGTGTTCAACACCGATGCTTCACTGCCGTATTACGGCTGAATGGAGTAACGTCTTTGTTAATGGAGCGCGATTTGGCTGCAACGGGTATAGAGGGGTCATCCTGACACAATCCTTCATTGGTCATCTTCTCATTGCGACCTGCATGAAAGAGTGCAATGACCGAAAATTCATGCCACGCCAGATACTAGGGACGCGTGACGCTCACACCGTCCTCACACTTCTTGGTCTTTGACTTGGTTGACCAAGTCGCTTAGTGAAACTGTCTGATAAATACGTCAACATTGTCAGGTCCCTACGAACATTATGCTGAGTTACCCTCTACAGTCGTCACGTACGCCCATCACCAGTAGAGCACAACAATGCTGTCCAATAACACCCTGTTCGATTTCGTCCTGAAGAACGCTCAGAATGCAGCAGCGTGCGGAAATTGTCATAATCCGAGGTATTTAAGACTTGCAGGATGCAGATGTTGTTTTAACATGTCATACTTCAAGTCACATAGGATACAGTGATATTTATTGACCCAATTGTGAGACAAATGGTGAGGATTCTCACAAAGAGGGAAATGGTGACTGGTAGTTTGCAGTAGTAAGTACCGACCTATTAATCATTATCAATCTATCACGGCACCTCTAAATTTTGAATATTGATTCACGCAGCGCGAAGTAAGAAGTTCAGTATGTTTTCTAGGGAAAAGTTCCCAGCGGGTACCGAATGCGCAAGTGGTAAGTGCCAGTTATTATCATGAGCAACAGCAACTGCAAGCTTCAAAACCGGAAGCCGATTCAACGAATCCAAGACCTGTTCATGTAAACGGGGGTAGTCCGAGAGTATCACCTAGGGCTGTACTCTGAAATATCAATTCAAGATTGCCAGCGCTGATCTGATATGTACACCATTAGCTTGACTTCACGGCAAAACAATCGACCCACCGCGATGCTGTGAATTGTTTGTTTGACACTAGCTTTGGTCTAAGCTAGTCTCAAACAAACAGTTCAGATGATTTGCACCCAATGGTCATAAGTTGGGAATTCAGATAACGGTCGATAGTGATAGGGCTATTGGGAAATTCGTAAGTGTGACTTGCAAGTTACCCACGCAATTACGAAAAGGGTCGCCCAAAACTCCACCACGAAAGTTTAGTCATCATTTCCAGCCACTCTTTAAATCACGTTTGTTTCTTCCCGAAAAATCACAAGCTATCCCTATTATTCGTTGCGCAAGCAAGTACAGATGAACGGGAGGACGGCAAAAACCTTATCACACTTTAACCATGACTCACCTTGGGTGGGTGGTTGTTCAGCAGCATTTTGCGACAGTGCGGATGTGTTCAAATCATCACCGACAACAAGGTCATCATCGCCAGGTGGGTCGATGGTTAGGATCAGTTTTCTGAAGTCCAAGTAATCATGCACTAGAGAGCGCATTTCGCCTTCGTACGCTTCCTCACCCCGTGAATCTTCTGCTGCGTCCAGGACTGGGGGCCAATCTGGTGGGATGGCTTTAGCGTCACAGTCGCTTTGCTGTTCGGCGTACTGCATCGATGTCACCTGCATAAGTTTGCGCAGTTCAACTCCAGCAGCCTGCAGACAAGGGCCCGGTTGGAAACGCACGCCAGCACGACGAGTAAGTGGACGCTCCCAGAGTTTGGCAGAATCAGTTGGAGAGTACCGTTGGATCTTTCTGCAAACATCGAAAAAATACGAAAATGAGCGAAAAAGCACACAGAACGGTATAGTATTCTACGGAGGAAAATGTTGGTAGCTCAGATAGCGTATAACTCGGCGTCCACCAAGTGCAAATCAGCCGTAGACCGAGGTGCATCGCGTGATTATCAGCAACCGGTGGAGAGCTACAACTCAAGATTGCCGTTCCTTCTGGGGAACACAGCTTGATTTCGATCATCCAACAGTGCGCACATGCCTGATAATTCTCCTTCATTAGGTCCTCGTAAGCCAGCGGAAAGTATGCCAACCCACTATTTTCGGAGCGCCAGGAAGAGAGGAGGGGGTTGGAACATATATGGGGATTTGTTCTTTAAGAAAGCGAAGTTATTGACTTCTCATCAAATACCACTGATCTGTGGTCAGGCTTTTGAGTCAAAGGCTTCGCTCGTGTACCATATCCACTGTCTGGGGACCTTGGAGGTATTCCAGCCCACGTACAACTAACAACAACTAGCCACAGACCCATGACACATTGGCCGTCGCATGATGCCACCTTACTTGCTGCATGCAGCAGGACGCGCAAGCGAAAACAGGATACTGTTCAGGCATTCATTTTTCTTCCCACGTTTTTTTCTATCCCCATTAGCAACCCTCCTTTTCAAGGCCCATCAATTAGGACTGGCAACCTTGTTCGTCTTGCATTAGCCTTGGTCGCAAAACATGCGTTTCGACCGGTGACGACAGCATCTAAAAATCAACCTTTAATGGTCGACGCCGTTTATCGGATCGTTTTGTTCGTACTCTGAAACAAGCAGCATAAAAAGCTGCCCCCGCCGTCATGCTGGACTCTCGGACACTGATATGTTGTCAGAAACCAAAATTTACGATGCAAGCACAACGGCTGAGTTAACTACCCTATCACTCTCAGCTCGCTTCTGGATGCGCATCTCTGGCAATACACTGGCCGCTGAGGCAGGATGTGCAAGGGTCGGCACCGTCCTAAGTCACCGGGCAGAAGGATCCTGGCTCGACTGGATACCCGTTAATAGTCGTCTCTGTGCAGTTCGTCTGGCAATGTCCTTGAGTCTCACAAACCGAAGGTTGACCGTTTTTTGTTTACCGTGTCCGCTTATACGTCAACCGACTGTAGCCTTGGCATCATCAAATACAAGCTTAATGTCCTAATTACACTGGAATAAACACTTAGATGTCTGAATGTACAAGTTGGCAGAATTAGCTCATCCGAGTTCATGGGACGATCGAGCTATAAGTTGGCCACAGACTTTTTGTAGCACTAGTTTCATGGACTAATCCAGGTCGTCTGACCACATGATGTTCTCCAAAAGCGTACCACCTACGGACCCAAACTGATCACCACCATCAGTTACCAATGTCGTGGATCAATGACTGCTGCCAGTTTTGAAAAAAACTTGTGGATTCCGACCACATACTCGTTCGGAGTCACTCTCCTTTCATTTTCCAAGGCTGAGTAAAGCGCGGACAAATCGCTTGGAAACGGAGAGACTGGCAGGTCCGCATGTTAGGCGAATTTACCAGAATAGTCTTCTGAAGTCGCTCCCAACTGCTCCAGAACCGATTCGAGAGCAGCAAACTGGATTCCATTCTGGTAGGGTTTACGATGGCCAAATCTTCACATATTATCGGGTGCTAGAACGACGACAAACATCTGAACAACCCACAATTTTGGCATTTCTAGATTTCCAAGACCCCCTTCTACTCAGTTGACCGGTCCGTACTCCTCGACACACTTACTTAGCAGGGGATGCCTTTGAAGTTTGTAAATATAAAACGTTTTGTGTTCTCAGACTTCAGAGAGTGTGAAAGTATTCGGAGAGCTACGTAGGCGTTCGTATACAAAACGGTGTCCAACATGGATGCCCACTCTCTCCATTTCTATCCTATTCCATGGTCGACGAGATGATGACATCAAAGCTAGGTCTTCAAAACCCTGTTCAGATAGCTGTTGAAAAACAATCTGTCGGTTTGGAATATCTATACCAAATGGTTTTCGTCTTCGAAGAGAACGCCCAGATGTTTTCGGATGAACTAACCAGTCACCTCGCCTTCCGTCATGCACATAACCCCCACAAAGTGTAAGGTTGTGTAATAACTTACGCGTCAGTGATGCTGTAAACTTCTTTCAGATATTGCTTCAAGGTTAGTAGTAAAACACATGCACGACTTGTTCGGATGGCGTCGCGCATAATTGGGAGAGCTGTCTCCCTTGAGGACTCCAGTCGACTCAGTAAGGCTTGTGCGTCTTCCTCTTCCTCTTCCAGTGGACCAAGATCCATGTGCGGGACGGCTGAAAAGGCACACGGATAAAAATGAAGTTAACGTATCAGTTGAATTTTGAGATAAGAATAACTAACAATGCTAGTAAGTAGATTGGTTTGGTTGTCTTAACCCAAGCAACAAGGGAGAGGTGGCAACCAAAGTTTCACGTAGACGTTTTCAACTTAAATGAATGAACTCTTGCACGCAAACGGCGAGTAGACTACTTCGAGCGAAAGCATATAAATTCAGAAGATCCTTTTTTGTGCCATGGGTTGGATACCTTGCACTAGACAGCCTTCAAAGCAACTGGAATACGGAGTCAGAAAACCAATTACTGGTAGCAGGATGGGATGACAACATTCAATTTGTGCCCATCACCTGTTTGTGAAGTCATGACATGTTAGCGAAATCGTATCTAATACGAACATGAGTTTGGTGTGCGAAATATACGACATCCCATCAAAATGTTTGTACCGCAAATAATAGCTTCAAATTGTTGAGCAAGATGTCCGTGAGAGCACAAAAAATTGCAATACTTGTTTATGCATACACCGATATTATTTTATCCGGCTCAAGTATCTGCATCCATAAACATTCAAAATGAATATTTGCCTTGGGTATGAGGAAAACAAGATCATCCCTCGAGATACGTCTAGTTTCTTCGGCATAAAGTACAGAGCACGGAACCAGATTACTGAGAGAAACTTTGCCTGAAAACGACTACCAACTGAAACCTATAGTGCGGTAGTGGAAAAGAAAAAAACTATCTAATGTTCACCGTCCCAAGAAAACAACTCTACCTGTCATTTTTACACTGAACCAAACGTCAATTACGCACAGCATTCGAACAGACGTATATCTTGACCTGCATAGTACTCGTTCTGATTTCATCTCTTATGACTAATAACATATCTCAATCCGATTGTCTTTTTGGGCAGTGGAAAGACATGGATGAATCGTCACACGGTAGATAGTTTCAAATTCACAAAAACGAGACCGACAAGTTGAACCGTGTTGAGAAAACAGATCTACTTAGGCTTCCAATCACAGATGGCAGCACAATGAGCAAGAAAGACCAAAGACAACCTCAGAAAAAGGAAAAGAGGTACAACTCTGGTTAAGTGCAACATTGGTGCGAGGAATGATACAAGTTATATTCTGCTTCTATATTCATATGCAAATGCGGGGCACCAACCCGGTCCCCTATGAAAGTGAAAGCTGGGCGGGCAAAGGCGATCGAAAGAGAAATCAGTTTCAGAGATAACAAACTCTTCCGCTTACACTATAACCATGGCAACGGGAGAACAGATTTTTGTGGGAAGCGTTGAATCAAGCTTTCGAATCAAGAAAATCAGAATGAAACACAGTGCCACTTCGATAGGATCGGATAATAAGTTTGGATCAGCGGTTGGGCTCCGCCATCTAGTGTACCTAGAGGATACGTTGCGTAGAAAGAGAACTAGTGAGTTACGTGACCTCGGACTGAGGACAGATCCCAACCATTGATAGGGGTAAGACCTCTCTCCTTCCCATAGCTCGGTTAGGGGGAAATACGATGAATCTTCTTGTGCGACTCAAGCGAAGCAAAAACATTGGGTGCTGTAAAACGGAAAGGATACCCCTCAAACTATTTTCGGTAGTCGACTGGGACAAATAACTCACATTCACGACCAACCAGTGCAGCTGAACGGAGTTCACTCATGCTGCTCCCACCGCAACAATAGGGTGGATTACTGGCGATGAGGCTGTTCAACTTATTTACCGCGGCCTGCAGTTGTTCAGCGTGCTGCTCAGCGGCAAGGTGATCTGATCTGTTCAGAGCCTCCGCGGAGGCTGCTTGAAGGGCTTGTACCTCCGTGCGCAAATGCAACTCGGCTTGGGCGCGATTTCGCATCTCAGCCTCCGCTTGGGCTGCCAATGCTGCTTCTAATGCTGCCTTTAGTTCCGGAAACAGGGTCTCTCGTACACTTTGCAGAACGCCGGAACCTGACATGCTAACCATTAGATCAATGTGATGAATCACGAACAACGGCTCCTCTTGACATTGATAAGAGAAGTGGGCCAGATTGTCAGCTACGTATATAAGCTGACTGAGATGAACGCGTTTTGAGTTGGCCTGCAAATAGGAAGTAAGCGAGAAGAATGAAACCTGGTTCCTTTCATAAGTAGATCGTCGGCTTAGTTTGGTGATAGGCAGGGCAAGTATTAAATAGCACAGTCATCTAGTGGATTATAGTTGCAAGACATTTGGATAAGGAAGGAGACAATTTAATAGCAGTCTCGCCAAAAACAAACATCCGTGCTTTTGTGAAATGCGAGCTATTACTGGATTTTTCAAAGTGGGTATCGCGAAATCGACAGATTAGCCTTTGGAACCAAACTCGCAATGCTTATAATTTTAATTTCTCAGGAAAACTTTATCTAGAACTTTATATGCTGTTCGTTAAGACGAAACCTTTCATCACTGGACGGATCGAGCCAAAAGGGCAACGTAAGTAGATAAATCCGAAAGTAAAACAAATAGTAGAAACGTTAAAAAAACATGGCTTCAGGACCACTGGATAGGATGATGGAAACAGATAAACGGAGAATGGACTGGAAGCTACAATAATCTTCGGAACACTAAATGTAAGTCTTCAGACATAGTGCCTGATTCAGACAGGCAGTATTGCAGTATTACAGTACGATTCCTGAAGCTTAGTGAACATGCGTGTCTTCGGTGAACTTCCCCCGGGCTGGAAAACTTGGGGACAAACAACCGGAATCGGAAGACGATATATGAACGGGAACAGAAATACCAAAACGGCACGGCCTCGTGTGGGAGAGAATTTGGTTTGAGACGCTTTGTGGGTATGTTTTCTGGAGAACTGTTAAGCCTATTGAAAAACTAAAAAATACCGGTTTTAAATGCACACGAGCAGATACAGTGAGGTGCATTGGAATACTTTAGTCGTGCTACCGTAAGTGAACCGGTTACGTCACCCAGTTCGGTATGGTGTGTGCATATCCCACATGTCTGTCAGTACAATTCCGTTTTGCACGGGATAGAGAAATGAGACGAGTGTCAAAACTTGACAACAAATACGAGATCTATCTGTGCTCAATCTCAAACGTTTTTGTAATCCAGTGGCCTCTATATAAAGGTGGTCAGACTTTGGGACTCACCGTCGCCGAGTAGTAGGCTTGCTGAGGGAGATAACTATAGGCCAGTTTCTCGATGAGTATTATAAACTATAAAGATAGACCAAGACGGCTTACTGAAGAAAACAGGATGTAAAGTGCTTCGCAATTTCAAGTGCTCGGCGTGTCCGTATGCCCAAATCCTACACAATCAGTCAAGAGAGCGGCACTCGTGAAGCAGGAGCAGGAGCGACACCCACTCATGTCTGAAGTCGCTGAAAACCTACGACACTAACAATCCGACATTGTTGGTTTTTGTATAAAGATAGCAGCGCCATAATCTACTTTTGTGTTTGGCCCATTGCCCGCTAGACGTCATATCCTATGCATTATTCCCACTTTGTGAATTTCATCTTGCACACTTCCGACAGATAAAACATCTACCCATAAGGGGTGGGCCAGATCGCACAGGATTTAGCGAAAGTTCCTGATTGCGCTGTGATTATCGGCTTCAGATCAGATCTTATGAAGGAAAAGTGCGATATAAGTGACCGAAAGTGAACAGGTGCATGACAGCTAAGGACCAAAATGAGAAAGCATTTATACGCATGTATATTAGTGTCATCCTACCTGTGAATCATCAAACAATGAAATCAGACCACTCAAAAGAGACCGTCGTTGTCCTCGATTCCCTCGCAGCATCGAATACAGATTTGAATTCAGTGCAGTGGGTATGTCACTTAGCGGATCACGAGTCCCTCGGATGCATTCAAACGAACCTTCAGCATAGTCGGCAACTCCAGGCAGCTGTTCACTCAAATCACTGAAAACCTTAGAACTCTTGGCGGTCTCCTCGAGACATCCGGAGGAGTTCACGTCACAATTATCTCCATCAATGTTGCTGGGCACTGTGGAACCCTTGTGGCGCGCACTGCGCCGAGCTGATTGGTGTGAACCATGTTTCGTTGTGCTTCCAGACGTGTTTTGGTTATCAGGTGACAATACCTGAGATGAACAGGATGCAGGTACCAGTTTCGCCTTCTGCGCAATGAGGTGTAATAGTTCCGGATAAAGCACAAACTGCAGTCGATAGGAGAAGCTAACTCCCTGAATTGCCCGCATCTGAAGAAGGACAAAACATTGGTATAACGAGAAGGGAGGAGTCCGTGCAAAGTAGAAATCGAAAGGAACTATTAGGGGCATTCAGTCTGAAGGTACTCATCGAGATTTACGTATGGCTTGTCGGCCAGGGATCAACCAACCGGCGTGCATCATATTGTGCATTCACATAGGTTTGAACTGTCATTGTTGACCTGACTTGGACACATCAAAACGATAAACACATAAGCAAATGATGATAATTCCGGGAAGCAATGAAAAATCCACCTACTCACAGAACAAGTGGCGAACGAGAAAAACGAGAGTAAAATAACAACAGTCAGGAGAGAAGCAGTTGGTGCAATCAACTCACACTAAGAAAGCCGGGAAACTTGTGATCGATCTCCTGCAACTGGGCGTCCGCCTTGACTCGCACATTTTGGTCCAAGTCAGTTTGCACTGCGATTAGATATGGAACTGTCTGCACAGGATGGATCAAACCCTGTCGCAGGATGGTGCTCACAACAGACAACGCGGTGAGACGGACAGCAGGAACCGGAGAAAAGAAAGTTTCCAGAGTATCTCTCAAATAGGTCTGAGCAACAAAGCTGCCCATTCCTGAAGCAACATCACCCATTTCTTTCAAAGATTCATGCTGATGTCTCGCTTTCCCTGTGAGATGAATAAAACGAGGAGCAAAGATATTATGGATAAACGCCCAACATGAACAGTTAATAAACTTCTGCATTCAGTTTAAAGTAACTATCGTCACATACTGTACAAAGCTGACCGACAAGTCCTCTTTCAAGCAAATGTTCGGCTACTTCACTACTTTAAAGAGCTAAAAGAAAGCACTGTGGACTAGCACTACCCATAGCACATTACTCCTACTTAGGAATATAAATTCTAAGGCCGTATCTCTATCTTTGTTAAAATCAAAACTATTTAGGATCTGGTTGATTGTGACTTAGCAAAACAATCGCAGTCGTGACATTTTGCAACTTTCAAATGCATACCTTGAGGTGTGTTCACGAGTAGCGAACACAACAATCCCATCATACTCGGGCAGTAGTTTCACTAAAATAGCCGGTCTTTAGACGACGATTCGGTACAAACGGTGCAAAGAACTGGAGGTCTCCTAAATTTTTTACATATGAAGCCATCGTCAATTCGCGATTCAAACGCACTGGTTCTATAGGAACGCTGTAACGTCATCCATTGAGCAACCCGAGGCCGTCGATACTTTAGATGAAGTAGCAGTTTTGCCCATATTATTTCTGAGAGTCTGGTGATCTGTGTACTCCGGGGAGTCTCACACAGCTATAAGATTATTGGTTCAAACCAGCGACAGCAGTTCCCTAAGTAGAATGTGAGAGTTTGTCGTGCGCCTATAGGACGGTCTATAGTATCTGTAGGAAAGCGGCATCCCTGACTAGGCGCTACAAGCCAGCAGCAACCGCATGTCTGGGTAACGAACAAATAGGCTATTCAAAGTTAGAATGGTTGTGGGTTCGTAACATCTGACAAGCGACAAGGATGGATACAATGGGTCGGGCACAGGTGTTGAAACTCCAGATCCGAATACCACCAAGGGTATCACCTTCGCATTTCCAGATTAGTAGGCGCTTGGGACCACCTATCTTCAGGGGATAATTGCATCGAAAAGATAAATATACATGGCACCATCACTGTTCAAAGGGTACATAACCAGTAGAGAACTCCTCCGAGATTTCATTTCGGTAACGAACTTTCCTCACACATCTGAATTCGCAAACTGCCGTAATTTTGAACAGGAAACGCCGCAACAATAGTCAGCTACCACTGAGTAGTGGGCGAAAACCGCTGACACCAATAGCACTGATCACGTAACTCATACAACTAGCAGTTTATTCTGTGTATAAGTTGATCAATGATCCAAAGTAGCGGGAATTAAGAAACATGGCACACGGGTAAAACAGGGTGAAGAATGGGATCAGGCTCAAAAAGGGCTTGGTGAACAATCGGTGGTTTTTATTGAGCAATGTTTCGCTTTTTGACACAAAAGCCTCATCATGCCAAATGGGCAGGTCACCAAGTTGGTCAGGTTTTAAGGCAGACGGAGAACTAATCAGTAAGACATCTTCAGATTAGCACACTAGATCAATGTTGAATGTCAACTGTCGGTTGATGTGGTCGCCTGGATCTCGTGTTGATGGGTTGAAGGAGTTGCAAACTAGTTTCGATTCGGTTAAGTTCTTAAATCTTCCACTTCAAGGTGCTTCATAGTGAGCGCCACTGGTAGATTTTGTTGGTCCTTGTTGGCTTATGAGTGTGGGATCAGCCATGAAGATGGTGAGAAGCAATACGATGGTTTTTTCTGTTATGTTAGAATGGACCTCTCGCGAACCATTTTACGCTGGTTTATGATTCCCAAGAATAGAACACAATCGTTATGAACTGAACGACAGGATGTGAAGATCACCAAGCACGCTCACAATCGAAGTTATCTATATCGCCGTCCCCACAAAGACTGTTGAAGGCAGTTGACAGACAACTAATTACAAAATGTGTGAGAGCGGTGAACATTAATTGCACCCTCCCAAGAGGGAAATATGCCAGTGTATCTGCGAGCTGTTTAGTCATTGAAAAGAGTTGTGTATTTGTAGAGGAGTGAAACTTTGAAAGGAGGCAAAAAAACTTACATTTGGAATCAGCATCTAACATGCGCTTCTCCTCCTCGAGGAAAAAATTTAACAAGTTCTCCAGTACGATGCACTTGAACTCCAACTGGTGATCTGGTGGTGTTTTAGTCGAGTCATCAGATGCGATTCGGGGCATATCACTGGTCTGTAGCAAACGGTGATAGAAATCACGTAACTTTGTCCCACACAACAATTCGTGGTGTCTAGTAGACAGGAACCCGAGACCAGCTAGAGCCTTTTTTCGCAACTCAATGTCTGACTTTACTTGCTCCGTGAAGAACATTAGAAGGTCGAACACCTGATCACGGACATTAGTCTACAACAAAGAAGACAGAATTTACGCTGTGTAAGGTAACGGAAAGTACAGGCGTTTAAGTAACCAAAGGTAAACAGTGAGAAGTGGAAAACTGAAACAGGAAACGGAGGTACCACATTCAACGAAGACCGAGCTCGTGGAGATCGACGATGATAACTTACGACACAGGCCTTCGAGGATATGGTGCAGATGCTCCTTGGAGTCAGTCAACAGTTTCTACAAGCATATCAAACTAAGGAATGTGAAAATTCAAGGTCATACTTTTAAACCCGCAAATAAGGTTCCCATACTAGTTAGCAACAGGTAAGATGGACGTCACAACTGGACAATTCATACCTGCTGGGAAATTTGGCTTGCTCATTTGAACCGACTTTGTGCAAGGTTACAAGGCCAACTGTGGGTTATACGAGTCAGTGGTTTAATTTGCAACTGGTGAACAGAAGCCATGCTCGTGGTCTATGAACCAGTATGAATCTCACTACCGTAGTGCGTACTGTCCTTAACAGAAACTGAAATCAAGCCGGCAGAAAGTGTCAATGGTCAGTAAAAGTTGCCCTGACCCTCCCGATTGCGGGAGGGTCTCACCTTCATCCAGCCCGCGGGGATTACACAAATTTACCAAGTTGATTGGCTTGTCTGCATGCATGTGATTTGGGTTTGATTTCATTTTGTCATTTCCAATGGCCTGTGTACCTAAAGGATGAAATGAGCGGAGGAATATCTACCTTCCACTGATGTTCCAACCAATCTTCGTCGCTAGTTGAACCTTTGACTGAACAGTCTGACGGAAAGTAAGTGGATAATTCTTCCGGAACCGTGATCGTGGTCTTTGAATCAAAAATTCAAATAGGAAACAGCGGGCAGTACGATTTATTTGAGGGACTATGCTTGGAGCTGATGACTCAACAGTCTGGTCAGCTTGGCCATGTTCCCAAGTGTATACACACGCTGACTGCGTGGAGCAACAACCTTATAGCGGGACTACGACTTTATCACCAAGAATGTAGAGCGGGAGCTCGCTATTTTTCATCAAGCGAGGGAGTGTCACAGGTGAGGCATAATTAGCTATTAAAGCTCCTTCGTTGACAATCTTTTCTAGAGATCTTTTCTTGTAAACTACAAGTGCAATTATTCCATAATTTTTATTTATTTATTTTATTCATGGATTGTAGCTGAATAATTTACCCAGCAGGAGCACAAAGTCTTCTTTGAGAAGACTTGAATGAAAACACATATTCATTCATGTAATGTCACAGTGTTTACAGACTTTCGCGCTTTTTAAGATAAGTATATCAGTTAATACTTACGTAAATTATGGGTTTGGGTTCAGTGTAAACTTCCGATGAAAATTATCCAACTGTACCCAACAGGGATGAAGTTTGGATGAAAAGCTTAGATGGCCTCAGAAGTTTATCGCGGGGAGAGGTAGGTAGAACAAGCTGGTCGAAAACCGTCCGTAACCCATTGGCTCCAAATATTTCTCCGTGAATAGCAATGTCTCCACACCCAGATGACACAATGTAAAGTACACCGAGTCATCGCAGAGTGGGGCGAGATGGCCGAAGTGGTTAGAGCGCGAGTTTACTAACCTGAAGGTCCGTGGTTCGAATCCGACCTCCGCCACTCGACTTCCCCTGTCTAGGCTTGGGCAACCTGGCAGTATCCCAGCCCTCGTGCTCCCTTCGGGTGGCATGGCAGCTAGGCACCGGAAGGATGCTACAGCTGAACGCTTTCTTTTCATTGCAGAGTACAGTTTATCTCTAGCAGAAAAGGTACCATTGGGGGCCTTCGTGCCTACGATCATCTCAAAGACTTTTCAACTGATGGACAGGTCAAACACAAGGGTACTTCATACTAGTGAAAATGAAGATCGTTAAGAACACATGAGCCAGTAAAGCGAAAACTATGTGCCCACCACACTTTACCCGAAAAATATTGGCAATGTTTCGCACGATGCGGTAAACAATAAGAAAGTCAATATTTGATCAGAAATACCAATGAATTAATCGACGTTAGGGGAGATGCCGTGACTTACATTGGTACTCGACTGAAACATATTGGCATCAAAATGCTTGCACAGCAATCCGACCGTGAACAATGCACGCAAAATTGAAGGCCGAATTGTGGGTGATATTTTCCGATCTGGATCATCGGCAAGATCAGCACGCGACCGCTGTAAGGCATTGAAGAGGCGCGTAAAACAATCTCGGGCAAGAGTGTAGTTTTTTGATACTCGATTGACTACGGAACCGAGACATGCCACACAGGACTCAAGCACCATCTTCCCATGTCGTAAAGTTAAGCGGACCATATCTTCTTCCAGTTGAGCGATGAAGGTTTCACTTGGATGTTCCATCAAAGGTACTGTAACCTCGAGGATTCTTGCAACGTAGTGCAAGACATGTGGGTCGGACGTCTCGTTACAGCGAAGGTAAGTTTGAAGAAGCATAGCGTATTCCACCATCAACTCTGGGCGAACCTTGGTGAGCAAATGCAGGGTCGCCAAGCAAGCAACGAGACGTTGGTTGCTCTGACCAGAAATTTCTATGAAAAGGAGGCACAAAAATAAATTGACGCTCCATAGGCCGTTTTTTATGGTTTCAGAACCCATGCACTTTAGAGGAACTGAACTGTAGAGGACGGGTGTTACCCGAAAAACGCAAGGCAATTATTAAAGCGCAAAAAGACCACTCACCCTCAAGTCTCATTATGTACTGAACCAAGCAATCAACGATTTGTTTGCAGGCCTTTTCAACGGGCTTTACCTTCTCATCCTCTTCTTTTTTGAGTAACTGGAAATCAACGGGGGCATTTGGGTTCGGATATGAGTTCAAATATCGGTTGATGAGTGTGACTGGCAGTAAAAACATTTGCAAAAAAGCAGATGGGTGCTGCTCCATGTGGAGGTTACTTCTGCTGAAGAGCTCAGAACCACGATAAGTCATTGCCTTTAAGATAGCATCATCACCGAACATCTCACTCTTCCGATTATCGGGGTGCTGACATCAATGAAATTCGCACAGAACGGTACCCACGTCGGTACTACCAGTTTTCCTGTTTTCTGGACCTTAGTGAACAGACTATCAATTTATTAACAGCCAAATGCGAAAGATCCTCCAGCGGCTTTAGGCTCACTACTGTCCACTAGAGAGCCGTTTCATCATTCTAATATGAGCACCGTCCCCCTGTTACTGGTCCTCTTGATGCTGACGAAAAAATGTCATAAAATGAACGTACAGGAAATTGACTGGTTGGCCACTTATACCACACCTGAGGTAGAAGTGGCTAATGTTTTAAGATTTTATCGAGGTTACTATCAAGCTGATCGTGCGCATAAAACGAGACTTGGGTGAAAACTCAACAAAACTTACGCTGCGTAGAAACTGTTCGAACCACTCGAAGCCAGTATCCTTACAGGCAGCAACCACGTCCGTGATGTTCATCACCTTACGAAGTAGTTTGACGGTTTCCTTGTCTCGAACAGGACTGAACCACATGGTTTGAAAGACTTCGTTCACCAGTTTCTGTAAAAACGGCGTATCAAAATACAGGTCTAAGTAGCCATAAGAAACAAACCGGCTAGCTCGCCAGAAATGCATAAACTATCCAGTCCATCTTGAAATTGAGTGGGTTGTAGCAGTATGGAAAGATAATGCAGAAATACAGAACATCAGACACAGAACGCACCACCGCGCGCCAATTTTGCACACCAAATGCTCCTCAGAGTTATCTGAGTCATAGGTTACACACTAGTGTTATAAGACGGACAAAGTAATCCGCCAGACGCACAGAACGGTCCGAAGCTAATGGAAACCCGCTCCGATTTACGACCCTGGTTCTAAGAAACAAAGCTTTCCCGGTAGAGAAGCTCTGAAGTAAAATTACAAATCAAACCTGGTACTCAGTCCTAAAAATTACGTATATAGGTTTTTCATCTTAATCAACGTGGTTTAACAGACAGGTGAGATACAAATAATGTGGCAACACATCATATATATATAT